GCGTCTCTCAACAATGGCAATGTTCTCTTTAAGATCATCATTGGCCCGAACAGACTCATCCAATTGAATATGGCAATCCTTAATGAGATGACATCAACCACACTAATGTTTATAATCAGTTTGAATTTGAAATATCCCAAGAAAGTGAGACTTTTCATTTTCTGGTTTACCTTTAAATGTGCATGAACAGATTTAAGTTGTTTCTGGGCCTCAGCTGCCTGCCTGTTGGCCTGGCTTAGTTGGATCTCCATCTCATTGAGATCTCCCTCCATTTTCTTCTTCAACCGGAGGGCCTCATTCCTGCTGCGACACTCTGCTTCAAGAGAGCTCTGCAGGGTGTCAATCGTCCTCTGCAGGTTCCTCTTGCACTGCTCCATCTCCTCATCTTTCTCAGCTAGTTTACGTTCAATATCAGCTTTAATTTGATTGAACTCAAGCTGGGCTCTTAGAATCTTACCCTCTTCATGTTCCAGGGAGGCCTGGTGGACCGGAGGGTACAAAGTATTACATAACCGCATACAGTTATACTGAAAAATGTTTCATTTATCAAAAAGGATTCTGTACCTCAGCTTCCTCAAGAGCAGACTGGATCTCACTCTTTTCCTGTTCCAGTTGTTTCCGTAATTTTTCCAGTTCATGGATGCTCTTTCCACCCTCGCCAAGTTGCTCAGTGAGGTCAGAAATCTCCTCTGTGGAATGTCAAGCAGTGTGATTAAAATGTCTTTACAATCTAATTAGCAAAAACATGTACACTAATCCTGGCAGTAGCTCTCACCCTGTAAGTTCTTATTTTCTCGCTTCATGGTCTCCAGATGATCCAGAGATTCCTCATAAGAGTTCTTCAGTTTGAAGAGCTCAGTGCTCAGAGCCCTGGCCTCCTTCTGGGAGCTCTCCAGCTCACACTGAGACTCTTCGTACTTCTGCTTCCACTCCGACAGGACCTACAGTGGATAGAATGGCCAACAGTAAGTGTACATGTGTCAGATGAATGGAGAAAGCACCACAGGCTTGGGGAGTTTGCCTTGCCTGAAACAATTTTTCCCATTATGGAAAACAGCACATCTAGGTAGATAACACATAAACCCAAAGATATTTGCTCAATAGGTGTTAAATATAAATATTTTGACTAATACAAATGTATTCTCCCCCGTTAAAGCCACTATGTCCATCTTTTATAGATGGCATTAGTTTATGTCTGTGGAAAATTTGAATGCGGTGGAAAATTGGTGCATGTGTAGCCCTTCAGCTTCATGCCAGCATGTGCTGCAGTGTGTTTTTTAATACTACCACTGGGGGGCACCAAAGTTAGATTTCAAATGTTACACACAACCCCTATTAAAGTTTAGTGACGCTGGCCTATATTGTAGTTGTGGTGGGCAGCTCTAAGATGTGATGTGTGTAAAACATGAAGCTGGGCACTACTAAAAATAGCAGGTTAAAAAGTCAACCAAAAAATTAATTACTAATGATTTTGCTGGTCCAAAGTCCTGTGGCTCCCCCCAATTGATATTTTTAGTGCTCACAAATACTTCATAGTACTTCACCTTGTCAAAGTTTCTTTGCTTCTTGTCCAGAGCAGCAGCAGCAGCATTAGACCTCTCCACATCCACCATGAGATCTTCAATCTCATTCTGCAGCCTGTGTTTGGTATTCTCCAGAGAGGCAAACATTTGCGTTCATGCTTCACAGCCTCCTCGGCATCCTGCAGACGCTGAGCCAGCTTTTTCCTTTTAGAAAGCAATCCATTCAAATAATTGAATGTCCTATAGTTGTGCTTAGTTGTCATAAATTAAATAAAATTGAACTTATATAATGGCTGCTTGATCATCTAACAGACAAACTTTTTGTTGTCTTACATTTTATAAGGAACATAACCAAACACAAAGCTGATCTTCTAGACGAATTAAAATGTTTCATTAGGAATTACATATTAAACATGAATTTGTATCTCAACGTCTTAATTGCCTCTCCAGTTCCTCAGTTCTCTGTATGGCATCAGTTTCATTACTTGGTCCTCCCCTGAGCACCTCAGGAGTTGGCCTTGACATGCTGCGCTGCTTTTCAGCCTTGGGCCCTCCTGCTCCTCCTCATACTTGCTCCCTGAGGAGGTCACAGTCATTGACGAGCAGGATGCAACTGCATGGGCCAGGGCACTCTTTGCCTGTCGAAACGAATTATATGAATAAGATAACATTGTATATACATCAGTTAGAAATGACTGTCGGTGGTTCACTGTGCACTGAAACTTCATTTCACT